GAGAGAGAGAGAGAGAGAGAGAGAGAGAGAGAGAGAGAGAGAGAGAGAGAGAGAAGCAGTCAACAGCTTGCTGAATCTTCACCGAAAGTAATTCTGAAGTGGGAAAGATTGAATCTTCACCGAAAGTAATTTTGAAGTGGGAAAGATTTGGGAATTTTCGGATTTTGAAGTTTTTTTTAATCGGGTTTCAACAATTTAAAATGTGCAAATTTCTGAATGCCCCCCCCTCTACATAATGTTGAACATTCTGAAAATTTTAAAGCGTTGAAAATGTTGAATATTATGAATGCCCCCCTTACATCCCAATGCAAATAGACGATGAAGATTCTGAAAACTCTAAAGTGGTGAAGATGCTGAGAATTGTGAACACCCCCTCGAGGCATTCGGATGAATTTTGAAACTGAAGATTTTGAAAATTTTGGAGTGGTGAAGATGCTGAAAGTTCTAAACCCCCCCCGCCTCCCCCTGTTTTGTTTCTTTAAGGAGGGGTTGTTCATAATTTTCAGCACCTTCACCACTTCACCACTTCACCACTTCACGAATTTCCGAAATTTCATAGTCTAGATGTATATTAACGTTGAAGATTCCGAAAACTTTGAAGTAATGAAGATGCTGAAAAACCTGAACCCCCGCCCCTTGCCCATGTTTTGCTTTGTTTTGGGGATTGCTTTGTTTGTTGCCCGTTGTATATCTGTTGTATGCTCAACATTTCTTTAAAAGTTAAAAGCTTTTTTTTTTTCCTTTTCACCACTCAAAATTGAGACCGACATTTTCAGAGGCTGATCAGTTGGATAATGATATCTCAAAGCTGTAGCCCTTTTTTCTTAAAAAAAAAAGGAAAAAAAAAAAGAGGGGAGGGGAAAAAAATATTGCAAAGCTGGGGCCGTGTACTGGCGGCTTAAGATGAGGAACGCGCTACTTTTATTTGTTGCAGGATGAAGTTACTGCAGGGACTGTTAACTGCAATGGAGCTATAGCTGTGGAGGCCCGGCGACCTGGTGGCGACACTGTCCTTGGGGATATTGTTCGTATGGTTGAAGATGCACAGACGCGTGAGGCTCCGGTTCAGCGATTGGCGGATATGGTGGGCATGCATTCCCCCTTCCCTTGCTCTTTGGTCATGCTCTCCATAGTTCTTGCTTGAATTGGACGGCAAGATTCGAGTTCGCCTGACGCATTGCCTGCATTGATTACTGGTCAAGTTTCAGGTAATAATCCGTAGTCAGTGATATGATTGGGGACACGCTAGCTGTAGATTGATTGGCCTTAACGATGGCTGAATCAGTAATCCTATCGCATCTGGATTCGAACTTGGGTCTGTATTTCAACAGTTCATGGGTGCACCAACTGAGCTGGTTGATCCATTTTGCTTTTGATTCGGCCTTTAGAATCTATAGCTGAGCGTCCAATGCAATGAACCCAACTCTATGCATGGCAACTCAAAGCGATTGAGAGGGAAGAAAGAAGAAAAATAAATAAATGAACAAATAAATAAATGAATAAGTATTAAATAAAAAAGACAAATAACGAGAGAACGATAATTTTTCATTAACAATCGATGATTACAAATCTCCTCCCTCTTCACCACCGAGTCTCTCTCTGCTCTCACGCCTCCCTATCACCCGCAAGTTAGTATCAAACCAGTGCGCAATGTCGGTCTTCTCCCACCCATCCGATCAGCAATGTCTCTCGCCAAGCTGAACTATGCAGGAATGTCTCTTGCCAAGCAGAACTCAACGGCGCTGCTTCCTTAGCAAGCGTCAACACGTAACAGGCTTGGAAATGACAATGCAGCAAATCTTGAGCACCAATGAAGAGGGCCAGCACAAAGTCACCGAGTAAGCACCTCCTCTCGACACACCTGTATCGTGCCGCCCACCTCCTGACCTCTCACTCACTCTCACTCCCTCTCACTCTCTCTCAATCTCTCTCACTCTCTCTCACTCTCTCACACACCTTAACACAATCAGTAGCTATGCAGGCAGCAGCCTCCCTTCCTCTAAAGGCAGCCTCCACACGTCTCTGGCTCCCCCTGTGTACCTCTCTACCTATGCCTGGCACTTTGAAGACTCAGTATCGGAACGGAGAGTGAGAGGGAGTGAGCAGAGGGAGTGAGCAGGCTGCCTGTACATTTGAGGAAGGGGCAGACCCAGTTAATTTGGTTCTAACTTCTAACTCGTCCGACCGTCTTCACCCGAATAGAACGCCCGGTAATTATCGCCGTATCTGGGCTGAAAGTTGTGCCAAATACAGCTATAATGATCGGGCGTTCTATGCGGGTGAAGACGGTAGGTAGAGAGGTACACAGGGGCAGTTCTTGAGAACCAAATTGAGGCTTGGAAAATGATAATGCACGACCTGGGGGGGGGGGCAGGCCCAGTTAATTTGGTTCCAACTTCTAACTCGGCCTGACCTGCCTTGGGATGCGTCCCCGGATGGCTGCGATTTGACGATCAGGACGGCCAAGAATCAATCTGTCACATCCAGTGTGTGCCTTCTGAGCGAGTGTGGAAGCTTTCTGGGAACTGTTGCTGAGCCTTTGGATTGGGTATGAGATGTGGCGGAGTTTTTGTTTTTTGTTTTTCGTGATTTGGACCAGTGCTCGATTTATGTGTGTCATCCTTGCACAGGGGCCATGCTAATCTTCTCTTTCTCTCTCTCTCTCTCTCTCTCTCTCTCTCTCTCTCTCTCTCTCTCTCTCTCTCTCTCTCTCTCTCTCTCTCTCTCTCCACCTGCACTGCTAATCTATGTGACCTTGCAGAGCAGATTGAGTTAAATTCTCCACCGTTGATTGGTTCGGATGTTGAACTACTTGGAACGTGAAGGGCAGATTGCTGGGAAATTTTGTTATGGAGTGATGGCTGCATCCGCTGCAACGTTTGCATTCTGGCAATGCTTTGGCGCATCACTCTTTCCACATGTGATACCTGCTTCCGGAGGACCTCTTCTCCTAAGCCTGCAACTGGCCTGCAATGTTCTGGTCAGTAAGTCCGTTCTATCTCAGTCCCTGTTTTTGCTGGGTCACATTCAAACGAGAATGCATGGAAGAACATGTCTTTCCTTGAGAAAACAAACCAAAAAAGAAGAAAAGAGAGAGAATGCATGGAAAGGAGAACTCGTGGAAAGAGAGAGGAAGTATGGAGGAGGTGCTGGAGGAAAGAAAAACTGTGTAGGCCTGGCCCACTCCATCGTTTGCTTGTTTGGTTTAGGGTTTGTTTGGTTTGAGGGCGGGCAGGTGGAATGGAATGATGCATCATCATCTGTTGAGGGGCTGGTGGGTAAGTCAATGGATCCTCTCTGTCATATATTAGCTGGTCTGATAGCCTTCTTTTTTTTTTCTTCTTTTTCTTTTTCCTTCTTTTTCCTTCTTTTTCCTTCTTTTTTTCCTTTTTTTTCTTTTTTTTCCTTCTTTTTAAGTGTGACAGCTGGTGTGACAGCTTATCATCGTTAAGCTGACCAGTCCCAGGTAATTCAAGGACTCCATTCATCTAGTTCCATATGGATTTGAAGTTTGAACTGAGGTATATATATATGCCCCTCGTTTGTTGTCCTCTTCTCTCTCTCTGCCTACAGTTTACTGGGCAGTTCTATTTGTGACGATATATATATCGTCACAAATAGAACTGGCCGGTAAACCGTAGGCAGAGAGAGAGAAGAGGACAACAAACGAGGGGCTGTGACAAACTGTTTCGTCAGTGTGACGATATATATATATATATATATTCAGCCTCCTGATGAGTCGGTGAAACTCCGACGAAACAGTTTGTCACAGCCCCTCGTTTGTTGTCCTCTTCTCCCTCTCTGCCTACGGTTTACCGGGCAGTTCTATTTGACGATATATATCTATAT